TCAAATTTTGGGAGATACCGATAAACCGATAATTATTACACAGATAACTAATACACAGCTGATATTTTAAAATCAGTCATTTTAAATGTTACAAGTGAGTTTAGGCATCACAACAGTTTAATATACAGTATAAAGAAAATTGTCATTTTAAGATCAGTGTTATTTTAGTATAATTTATATATTATTATAGCATTAATAAATGTTTTGAATTAGCTCGTATTTTTATATTTTGAGTTTTATTCTAATTTTGGTTTCTTGGTCATTTTGTTTTGCTATTTTGTCATTTTTATTAGGTTTTTATTCTATTTAGCTTTAAATCATTTCATTTTTTTTCATCTAATATTTATATTTCAACTTGTTTTTAATAGTTTTAATTTTAGTTAATAATAAACATTCTGTTTGAGATTGGCTAAAGATTAAATGTATTGTTTTTAAATTAGATTTTTAAGTTAACTTTAAGGAAATTAGTATAGTAAGGTTAATCAAAATGAGTATGAACAATTAAATATCGGATATCGTACTGATAAATTACAAAATATCTAATCTATATCTAACAATAGCCTCGTGGCAGTGCGCCGGCATGTAGTGCCGTTGTACTTTGAGCTTCCCCTGTTAGAATTGCGACTCGCAGACCTTTCCTAATCCTACCCCCCCCCCCCTCTCCCACTTGTACACTTATCGTCCTATCTAAATAAAGGCATAAAAACACCAAAAATAAATAAATAAAAATTATACAAAATATCTAATATGGGCCGATAACTGATATGGTACCGATATCCCCAGTATGGTCTTAGAATCTTTGCTTGTCTGCTACCATTTATCAAACCAAGAGAACTGTTACAGTATTCTAGAATCAAATTGTAATTTCATTTATAATGTTGTATACTGTATCTTAATGTCTGATGTGAATATCTAATGTTTATGTCAGGAGTTGAAGAGCTTCCTGCCAGACCATGTTTTTCTACAGAATGCGCACTCAATGCCAGCGGTAAGGGTTGCTTAACCTTGTTGCTTCCTAAATAATTGATATGAAAAGGTGAGCACTTTGACGTGATCTTTGACCTTTGAACTTCTCAGTTGCACCTGGTGGCACTCAATGCCCCGTTCACAGGGAACATGCATGGAATCCGAGGGGCAGATTATCAGTGTTACCAGCAAGCCCGTGCCAGGGGCCTGACATCCACTTACAGAGCTTTCCTCTCCTCTCACCTACAAGACCTTTCCAGCATCGTCAAGAAAGGGGACCGCTTCGGCCTGCCAGTGGTGAACCTCAAAGTATGTAAAGGAGCATGCTTGCAACAGTAGATTTTTAGCAGTAGAACAGTAGAACAGTAGATTAGAGAAGTGTTTTTGATCAGTGTGCTCTCATTACATGCAGTTTGCCTAAGTTTAGCTGTCTAAATTTAGTTTCTTGTGTTTCCTCTCTAGGGAGATGTGCTTTTCGGCAGCTGGATGGCTATGTTCTCTGGCGACGGGGCTGTTTTTGATCCACTTACACCGATTTATTCCTTTGATGGACGAAATGTCATGACAGATCAAGCTTGGTAAACAGCTTTTTCCTTTTGCTTTTCTCAGACGTGTCTATTAAATTAATTTGTCTGCTAACACTTTGAGTAAGGTTCTATATGCTACAATATTTAATATATTAGGTATATATCAATGAACAATTAAAGAATATGTTACAGCATATATTAATCTTAGTCACCCAATATTCAGAAAATTAAGCACTAGGTAAAAAACAAAAACAAAGTCACATTGGTGTATAAGTCACATTTTATTGTCACATTCAGAAATAATGTAAAATAGCAGTAAATAAAACAAAAGATATACAAATATTACAAACACTAAACATGTATTTAAGTCACATCTTATGCTTACATTCAGAAATAATGTAAAATACTTGTAAATTAAACAAAATGTACCCAATATTATAAACATATATTTGTCACATTTTATAATTACACTCAGAAACAATGCAAAATATCAGTAAATAAAACTAAATGTATACAAACATTATAAACACTATAAACATTTATTTAAGTCACATTTTATTATTACATTCAGAAATAATGTAAAATACTAGTAAGTACAACAAAAACGTACAGTATATGAACATTATAATCGGCCAATCAGTGTTTTATTTACTGCTGCGGACTGTTTTTTTTAGACACTAATTAAAAAATGTAACTTATATTCTGAAAAATATACATATCTACATTTCTACATATATTTTAACCTTTCAAGTTATCTAAATTAATATTATTTCTTATATTATGAACAAACATGAATTAATAAATTGTATGTTACTATGGCTCACGGCTTCAGAAACTGAAAAAATGTGACTTATATTCTGAAAAATATAAATTTCTACATTTCTGCATATATTTTAACCTTCAAGTTATTTAAATTAATATTATTTCTTATATTATGAACAAAACTTGAATAATAAATGGTATGTTATTATGACTCAAGGCCTCAGAAACTGGTGTGGCATGGCTCGAATACCGCGGGCATCCGAATGACAACTAGCTACTGTGAGGCCTGGCGGACGGGTGACATGGCGGTGACGGGACAGGCGTCTCTTCTGCAGACCGGCAGACTGCTGGGGCAGCACACGCGTAACTGCTCAAACCACTTCATTGTGCTTTGCATTGAGAACAGCTACATCCAGAACCCTGGAAGGAACTAGAAAGCTGACAATTTTAACGTAAAGTAATGCAGATGTAGGGAGCAGCAGTAGCTGGACTGCTGGGGGAAATATTCAATCTACTCTTTTATTAGGGAGAGAGCTCCTGTGAGAAGTTACAAGCCAGGGGAAATGGCACTGCAATCATTTTTTCACTTTTTCTCTGAGCATGATGTAAATAATGCATGTATAAATCACCCACTGATACTGTTCAATCAACGACCCACCGACTTCTATTAGAATACCAAAGAATACCTCAGCCAGATATCAACAAGCAAGAGTAGATCTATTGTATGAATTCACCGCATTACTCTGTGCCTTCTCAGATGACATTAACCCTCCTCACAATGACTAATACAGAGTTTATGTGTGTGTGTGTGTGTTTAATGTATTAACTACAAATTTGAAACCACAAACGTTGATAGATAAAAGATGCTTATTTTTAATCAGATTAAATGCCAATATTTAGACATCAGTATTTGGATATTCTATATTCATATGAGGGAGTTTTGGAAGTTGTTTAAATGCACTGTATTAACAATTTCTTGTTTTGTTTTCTTTTTCACACCCACAAAGTTCCTTTTTGTGAACTTGCATTTAAACTAGTATTTAAGAGAGGCAACAAGTCTAATTTATAATGTAAAAGCAGATAAAACTAAAAAAGTACATACTTTAAATGGCATAAGCGTTGTTTATCTTTTAGTATAAAACAATAATAGAGAATTCCCCTTTTCTTTTTCATATTTGAATGGTTCTCGGTGAATAAATGTTTTGTTTTATAAGTGTGCTTGTCTTTTTTTATTGTGGTTTAGAACAATACACACACACACACACACACA